CACGTGTCCAGATCTAATGGATGAGAAACACTGATTTTTAAAAAAACGCGGTGGCATTTTCGTAAATAATTGAACATCGAAGTGCAAGTAAAATGTATTACAAGTGCATGTAAAATGTATTACAAGTGCATGTAAAATGTATTACAAGTGCATGTAAAATGTATTATAGGTGCAAGTAAAAATTTACACTGAGCATCAATACTTAGTTGCACCTATAGTTCTAAGTAGTTGCACCTATATTTCTAAGTAGTTGCACAAATAGTTATAAGTAGTTGCACCTAGGTGTATGAATGTTTACGAGTGGTTTTCAGGGGTATTACTACCCGCTGAACTCAGATCAATGAATGTTAACAAGGCAAAATTACATGCACTTATAGGTGAAAGTAGGTGCACCTATAGTTATAAGTAGTTGCACCTATAGTTATAAATAGTTGCACAGATAGTTATACGCACACCGAGGTGCATGGATGTTTGCGGAAAGTGAATGCTAACAAGGAAAAATTACATGCACTTATAGGTGAAAGTAGGTGCACCTATAGTTATAAGTAGTTGTACCTATAGTTATAAATAGTTGCACATATCGTTATAAGCACACCCAAGTGCATGAATGTTTGCGGAAAGTGAATGCTAACAAGGCAAAATTACATGCACTTATAGGTGAAAGTAGGTGCACTTGTAAGTGATTTTACTTGCACTTTGATGTTCAATTATTTACGAAAATGCCACCACGTTTTTTTTAAGTTATTAGATCTGGACACGTGTCGCGCGCTGATTCGTTCGCATTTCCCTCCTGAGCACTTATTCGCACCTGAGTGCATCCCTATATATATATATATATATATATATATATATATATATATATATATATATATATATATATATATACATACATATATATATATACATACATACATATATATATATATACATACATATATATACATACATACATACATACATACATACATACATACATACATACATACATATATATATATATATATATATATATATATATATATATATATATATATATATATATATATATATATATATATATATAGGGCTGTGGTCCACCGTTTGGTTGCGATCAAACGTTTATGATACAAATGAGCTGCGGTTCATTGATTGGTTGCAATCAATCTCCTTGTGCTGCAGGGCCGTGTCAGAGCTATATGCGCTGACCCTCATGTATGGGCATGTGATTGGTCCTGCGGCACCACCATATGTGTGCACACCATTACGTGTCTTGTTGTTGATTGTGTGATGATGACTGAATATTGATATGGTTGGTATTGTGTATTCTTGTGACCTTAGGATGCATCCTAGAATCTTTTCATTTAACTGTATTGAATATATTTGCTATTGCTTGATTGAGTCTGTCCTTGGATTTAAATTAGAGTTTCGTAAGTATATATGTATTCCAGTTTCAAAGTGAGTTTCTTATATCTACCTATATTGTACTTAACGCGTTGGAGTGGGTTACCAACATTATTCGCTGAACAGATATTATTTGGCTTTCAGGTATAGACAAATAGCTTCGAAGCGCGCTAGTCGGATTCATGGACTTAGTTTAGGTAGTTCTAGCATGGACGAGATGGCCTGCGTGCCTTGATTTGTATTTCGGTATTAGTTATGGCTTATGCTTTGTTAGTTCGTTTAGCCTGTGCATCTGAGTTCTCCAGCTCAGATGTAGCACCCCGACTACTATGTCTAGTTTATGCTCTATTTGGGAATTAATAAAAGAATTTCCTTTATTCCATAAGCTTTGATAGTTTTAAAAATTAGGGGTGTTACAACAGGTAACAAAAAAAAAAAAAAACACTCATTAAAAAGGTAGGCATAGATTGTGCTACACTTTTCAACAAGACTTTCTTACCCGCCTGCGATAATAACTTCTTATTCCAGGATCCGATTCTTTGTCTGATTTTATCTTCAATAAATGAGAAATATGCCTTCTTATTTCTTCCAACAAAAGATGGAAGTCCCAAATATTTTCCAAAATTAGGAGCCTGAACTACTCCCAAGATCTATGCCACCTCTTCCCTGTCAGTCTCACATGTATTCTTGCTGTAGCATATGCTAGACTTGTGATAATTAACCACCTGCCCAGACAGATTCTCATACACAGACAATCAATCTTTTATTTCACTGGCCTCTTGAATATTGGCTTTGAAAAATAGTAGACTATCATCAGCAAAAAATAAATGAGAGATGGGGGGGGGGGACTCCTCTAGCAACCATGCTGTAACACCCCGTGTTACGACCCCCAAAACCAATTAATTAATCAATCAACGGCCCAAGAGAAAAGATAAATTATAATGATTAATCAGGGAAAAGGCCCACCATAGTCCGTGGGCCCTCATCTCTAAACCCAACCCCTAATCCCAAAGGGATTAGACCCCAAAATAAGACCCCTAGGTATATAAATAGGGAACTTAGGAGAGACCTAGAATTCCCACCACAAGAGTAACGCCCCACCACCCCAAAAGAGCTCCAAGAATCCCCTTAGAAGGAATCAAGAAAGCAAGACAGGTGGCCCCCCACCCACCGGCTACCCGCTGGAAATTCCCATTCGGGACCCCGGCTTCCCCGTTTGATGTTTCCCCGACCCCCGTGGTGTCCCAACGGACTCCGTCTATCGTGCCTATGTCTAGTTGGATATTTCGGGTACCGTTCGTAGGTTGTATGAGTCATATATATTGCATGCTAGTTGAATTGGTATCCCGTCGACCTAGGTGGAAGAAGCATGAACCCCTTAGGATTATTCTTAGTATGTGAAGGATCACGCATAGGTTTTGTTATACGTTTTCTCCCCCTTCCCAATGTGTTAATGTGGGTTGCATGTGCTTGCTATGTGTTATGTGTGCATGATACCCCAATTCGGTTGCGATCGGATTGGTTATTCCTGAGCTGCGGTTCAGAAGCTGGCTGCGGTCAGATTTACACTCTTGGGCTGCGGTCCACCGTTTGGTTGCGATCAAACATTTCCACATGAGCTGCGGTTCATACTTCCTGGCTGAGGTGAGATGACATTCTCTTGGGCTGCGGTTTCACTGTTTGGTTGCGATCAAACATTATGATGAGCTGCGGTTCATCGGTCGGTTGCGATCGACCCCTCCGTGTTGCGATACGGGGCAGGGTGCTGCGGGGCCGTGTCAGAGCTATATGCGCTGACCCTCATGTATGGGCATGCGATTGGTCCTGTGACGCCAACAAAGTGTGCTATGTGTTGAGATATGGATGAGTTGTGACTATGAGTATCTTGGGGGATGTGACTATGGGATTTATGCTGGGGATTGTTTATATTGGGTTATGATTATTAATTGTGCTCAGCTTTACCTGTCTTGCCTGTTGCGGATTGTATACGCTTGTTATAACTGTTGCTTGTGTCTAGCCTTATCTGTCGAGTCATTCCCGGTTTTAAAAGCTAAAGTTCGTAGGATATATCTTCATGCTCAAAATGGTTTTCGTATATCTATATATATCTATATGTATTGTATTTCAACGCGTTGGAGTGGGTTACCAGCATCTCTCGCTGAACAGATATATTTGGCTTTCAGGCACAGAGGAATAAGTCACTGGAGCGCGCTAGAAATTGGAGCGTAGAAGTAGATAGTTTCCCTTTCGGCCTGCGTGCCATGCTTATGCATTTACATTATCAAGGATATTAGTTAGTTAGCCTGTGCACCTGAGTTCTCTAGCTCAGGTGTGGCATAGCACCCCGTACTCTTGTATTACGTTTTGGGATTTAACGAGATTTCACCTTTATTTTATAAGTTTTAAATGTCTTGAAATTTCGGGGTGTTACACCTACAACCATGAATGCAACCCTTATTTTGTGCTTGATGTAGCAACAAAGAGAGTCCTTCTGCACAAATAATGAAAAGATAAAGGGGACAGAGGATCCCCTTGTCTTAACCCACGAGTGGGTGTGACCAGGTTACTGCGTGAGCCATTCACTAAAAAATTGTAAAATACTGTGGTTACACATAACATAATTAGTTCCACCCATCTAGTATCAAAACCCAAAGCCAGAAGCATGTTACGTAGGAAAGACCACTCCATTTGGTCATAGGCCTTAGCCATATCCAACTTGAGAGCACTCCAACCTACAGTCCTACACTGTTTTCTGTTCAAATAGTAACCCACTTCTGCAGCTATTAAGATATTATCCGTAATAAGCTTATCTGGTATAAAGACACTCTGTGAAGCTGATATGGTTTCCTCCATTAATGGCTTCATTCTATTGGTTATCACCTTAGCCATGATCCTATAAACCACATTACTGAGGGCTATAGGTCTAAGATCAGACACCAACTCTGGAGTAACTTTCTTTGGGATCAAAACAACATCTGTATTATTTAGAGCAGCAGGGAAACTGCGAGATTCTAGACACCCAATCACAAAGCTCGAGACATCCCCCCCACCGTATCTTAAAAGTGTTGATAGAAACTCGGATTCATTCCATTAGGACCAGGTGCCTTATCAGGGAACATTGCAAATAGCGCAGTTTTAATTTCCTCATATTCAAATGGGCGTAGTAAAGACTGATTTTGTGCCTGTGTAACCCGTGGGGCAATCCCTTCAAAAAAAATTTCGCCATTCCCTGGGTGCCCAGAGCAGAAAATATGATCAAAATAATCCATAATAACACTTTTCATAGCTTCCCCTTCCACCCAATCCCCATTATCATTCACAAGCCTAGATATAGCATTCTTCTTTTTACGGTGAGAAACATACATGTGGAAGAACTTTGTATTGGCATCAACATCCTTTAACCAGTGTTGTTTGGCTCTCTGCCTCTAGTATGCATCCTCTTGGGATTCAACACGGGCTAGGAGCCCCTCCAGTTGCTGGAATTCGGCTAGCGAGGTTGGGTCAGTGCATCCCCTCAAACGTTGCTGCTCCTTTCGTAGGGTCATAATCTGCTCTACATATTTATGATACCGATCACCACCACATGGTGACAAACGGGCAACACAGTATTCAATACAATCCTACAACCCCCTACTCCTTCCTTCTTCCCATGACTGTTCCACCACACCTCTACACCCTTCATCATGTAACCATGCCATCTCAAAACGAAATCCCCTCTTACTAGTTCCAGCCCTCCCTAAGGAGTCATGGATTCCTAGAAAGAGGGCAGAGTGATCCGACACCCGGGTTGTCAAATTCGTCACCCTAGCTCCCAACACAATATTACGCCAACTTTCTGTTGTGAACACTTTATCTAGTCTCTCCTCAATCCAGTTCATAGTCCCCTGTCCCCTTTCCCAATTAAACTGATATCCGTCCAAAGGCATTTGTGACAGCCCACAATCCTCAATAGCCTCCCCAAAACCGCGAAGAAGACCATTCGGATGCGGGTTTCCTCCTCTTTTCTCATGCTGAAAAAGTAGGTCATTAAAGTCCCCCACAACAATCCACGGGAGATCAGACTTGTCTGCTAGGGATCTCAGTAGTTCCTATGACTCATTATGCCTGTTGCGTTCCGGAAAGCCATAAAAACATGTCATTCACCAGTTAGGGAAACCAGATATAGTAACTTCCACATCAACGTGATTCTTCGAAAATTCAAAAGCCTCGCCATATTATTTCTTCTCCACAGCAAAGCTAGTCCACCACTCAATCAACTATTATCAACATAGAATAAACCATCAAAGCCAAGTTTGACACGAATACGTTCAGCATGTATCCATCCCACCTTGGTTTCTAGTAGAAAAATAAAATCGGCCTTCTTACGAGACACAAAGTCCACAATTTCACGAATTGTCCGTGGATTACCCAAGCCACGACAAATCCAACTCAGCGTACTCATTGGGTCGGGCGGGTTTGAGAACCAAAACCCGCCATCTGCAAGTTTTTTGAATCACCATTTACCGGGTGTCCACCTGCCGGCGAGCCACCCCTGCCGGTACTGACCGTCGCCGCCCGACGTCGTTTGGATGAAGCCAGCACCCCCTCATCAGAATCATGTTGCGGGTGTACCATGCGGACGTCGTCCTTGTAACACCCCCGATTTAACCATATTTTTAAAACTTAATTGCAAGAGAAAAACAATTTAATAAACCATTAAACAAAAGCGGAAGCATGTCTATACGGGGGCATTATACCACATCTTAAATACTAAAAGATGCACAGGCTGGAAACTAAAGCATTCAACAAAGTCTACAGAGTCAAGGCATACAGGCCGCTCAAAACACAACGTCTAGATAAAAGGTAAAACTATCTAACTCCATTCTAGCGTTCTCGGTCTCTACTCAAAACCCGTAGAACAAGGAAAACATAACATGGGGATAACACCCGGTCAGCGAACATTGCTGGTAACTCATCAATACGCGTTAAATAGCATATATAGATAAGTATAAGTCAAAAACCATTTTCGAAACGGAATACAGTATATATCATTTCAAAAGCCAAAGAGAGAGAAGTCAACTTCAAGGACTCAATCACACTCTCAAAAGGAAAAAGGAAGTTAACATCCTTACAACAACAACAAGACAAGAATCATGAAAGACAATACAACTCGAGATGCATTCTACTGATCACAAAGTATAATACATCAAGACATGCTCATTAGCAAAGAATACACATTCACACATTGGCAACTACATGCCACAGTGACAACTACATGTCACATGTATCATGGTTTCAAGTTCCAAGTTCCAAAACACCCAAAATCTCACACAAAAAAACAATATGACTTGAACACAAGAAATAGCCAAGCAATGACATACAGGAACCCTAAGAGCAAGCTCTAAACATGCATCACCACAAGACAATGCATCAAATCTCACATTTCAACACAAGAATCACAAGTAGAAGCCAAGAATTCATCATATAAGTAAGAAAATAGGTTTTGTAAAGCATGAGTTACCTTTGTAGCCTAAAACTTCTCTTTCTCACCCTTAGAAAGCTTCTCCTAAAGCTCTTCTTCCACACCTACTTCATAAACAAACCAAAAGACAACAAAGATTCTATTTTTAGAAAAAGACATCTAAAAGGATGCTAAAAACACCAAAGGATCAAAGATCTTACCCTCCCTTATGCTCAAGATATGGAAAGTAGGAATCTTGGAAGACACCTTTTAAGATTTAGGATGCCCAAATTTTTGCTTGGAGAAAAAGCTACCACTTCTTAGAGAGAAGTTAGAGATTTTGTATTTAGATTGTTGGTGGATGAAATGAAGAGATGTTGTGTAACACCCCGAAATTTTAAAACTTTTAAAGACTTATATAATAAAGGTATTCTCTTATTAAATCCCAAACAGAGCATTGTTAAACATAAAGGTACGGGGTGCTATGCCACACCTGAGCTGGAGAACTCAGATGCATAGGCTAACTAACTAAATTCCGTAATAATGTAAATGGCACGCAGGCTGAAAGGGAAACTATCTACACTACGCCTCGAATCTCTAGCGCGCTCCGGTGTCTACTCATCAGTGCCTGAAAGCCAAATATATCTGTTCAGCGAGAGATGCTGGTAACCCACTCCAACGCGTTGAAATACATTACATATATATATATATATATATATATATATATATATATATATAGATAGATATACGAAAACCATTTTGAAGCATGAAGATATATCCTACGAGACTCTAGCTTTTAAAACGGGGATAGACTCGACAGATAGAGCTAAGCACAGACAACAGTTATACCAAGCATATACAGTTTGCAACAGGCAAGACAGGTAGAGATAAGCACAATTAATAATCATAACCCAACATATACGATTCCCAGTAAAAATCCCATAGTCACATCCCCAAGATACTCATAACAGCAACTCATCCATATATCATCACATAGCACACTTTGTTGGCGCCACAGGACCAATCGCATGCCCATACATGAGGGTCAGCGCATATAGCTCTGACACGGCCCCGCAGCACCCTGCCCCGTCTCACACTACGGAGGGGTCGATCGCAACCGACCGATGAGCCGCAGCTCTATATAATATTTATATACCTGACCGGTCTTTACCAGCCTGCTAAACAGTTGGGATGGTTCTCAACCCATTCAACTGCCCGTATAGTGGACCTTTGTCCTATATAATATTTATATACCTGACCGGTCTCTAACAGCCTGGTTAACAGTTGGGATGGTTCTCAACCCATTCAACTGCCCGTATAGTGGACCTTAGTCCTATATAATATTTATATACCTGGCCGGTCTCTACCAGCCTGGTTAACAGCCGGTATGGTTCTCAGACCACCCGACTGCCCGTATAGTGGACCTTAGTCCTATATAATATTTATATACCTGACCGGTCTCTACCAGCCTGGTTAACAGCCGGTATGGTTCTCAGCCCACCCGACTGCCCGTATAGCCCGATTGATCTCAACCAAATCGGGGTAACATGCACACATAACACATAGCAATCACATACAACCCACATTAACACATTGGGAAGGGGGAGGAAACGTATAACAAAACCTATGTGTGATCCTTCACATTCTAAGAATAGTCCTAAGGGGTTCATACTTCTTTCACCTAGGTCAGCGGGATACCAATTAAACTAGCATGCAATATATAAGACTCATACGACCTACGAACGGTACCCGAAAAACCAAACTAGACATAGGCACGATAGACGGAGTCCGTTGGGACACCACGGGGATCGGGGAAACATCAAACGGGGAAGCCAAAATCCCCAATTGGGGTGCAAACCAGCGGGTAGCTGGTGGGTGAGGGTTCACCCGCCAGCGGCAGCTATTCCGGGCAGCTGCCCGCTGCCGGCGTTGCCCAAGAAGGCCGCGGGTAGGTGGCGGGTCCCCTACCCCCACCTACCCCCCACTGACTCTTTATCATCAAAAATGCCCCGGGAACCTTTGTGGAACCCAAAACCATGCTTAGACACTTCCAAACGCAATCGATAACACACGTACACAATTAACGGATCAAAATCAGGAAACAAACGACACATAACCTATCATGTTTTTCTAAACATAATAAACACCCAATCATGCGAATTCCCACCCAATATACCAAGAATAATTCCATACGATACAACCTAGGGTTCTAATCATTTTTAAATCAACAAGGACACAATTCATCTTCTAATATCAAGATTCGGTAAGAATATCACATAAACATCAAGAATATCCTACAATCATCAAGAACATCATATAATCATCAAGAACGTCATATAATCATCAAGAACACCATGATTATCAAGAACCTTTCATCATCAAGATCACCCATGGAATCATCCCATCAATCATTAATAATAATATCACAAATCATCAATACACAATAATATGGGGAAATCCTAAGAGGGGAATCATAGCTATGAAAATAGGTTTTGTTGAGACATGGGTTACCTCTTAGCCTTAATTAATTCCTTGGCTATGAAGGGTCTTTCTTTAAGCCTTCTTCTTTCTTGATTTCTCCTAAGGGGATTCTTGGAACTTCTTGTGTGGTGAGAGATTATGGTGGTGAAAGATCTAGGTGCCTCATATATCCCTATTTATATATTTAAGACTCCTAATTAGGGTCTAAATGGTATGGGTTTACTAATTCTATTCCTTATAGGACTAAGGGCTTATTTTAGGGATAAGGGTCCATGGTCCATAGTGGACCATATTAATTAATTAAAGGGAATCCTAATCGTAGTCTGAATAGTGAAAGGCCTACTTCCTTTATTCCTAATAGATAACTAGGTCTAGGATTGCTAATTAGAATCTGAATAGTAAAGGGTTTACTTTCTTTATTCCTAATAGGCTTAGGACTCTAATTTAGGCAAGGGTCCACGGTTCAGGGTGGACCTTATTAATTAATTAAAGGAAACCTAACCGAATTAAATCGTATTTAATTATTATTAACGGGATTAATTAAATAATTAATCCGGGATTGAAGGCCGTAACACGGGGTGTTACATGTTGCTAGGTTAGCTTGAAGCACAAACCTTAGGTAGAAAGACACCTTTGCCTTTACTAAAGTTGGAAGAATAAGGAAACAAGGGAACAACCCAATAAGCATAAGGTACAACCCTTTGACCTTGAATGACTAGTCAAATTCTAGTCCTTCGACTATTGAATTTTCAGGATTTTTAGGAATAAATTAACAAGGAGACTAGGATTAATTCTCTAATTAATCCTTGATTAGAGTTTGGATTTACGGGGTGTCACAGTCCTAGGCATCATTTGAGGAAGCCGAGCCCTCCTCCATCATACTCGGCTGCACCGGCTACTGCCGTGCAGACTCCTCCGGCGGTAATAGCCACGACGCACTGACTGGCCTCGGTCCCCTTGATTGCCCCGCTCTCATCCACGGCCTGTACGAGTAACAGCTTTTGTTCGGCGGTTAACAGCTTCTTAATTGGCCTTGTGGCCGAAGTGAAACCGCCTTCCCTTCCCAACAGATAACCGAGATAGTCCTTGTACCCTGTGTCTCGGGTGCTAACCCAAGCCTTTCGGTCATAGTCTGACACACCCGTGGTGGTCAATTTCAGGAGTTTAGTCAGGCGGCCCTAGGTGAGCATTATATCCTTGCCCCGGACTTTGGAGGTGATCTCCAACTTGTCCCCTCGTTTGGTAGCTACGAAATGGCAATAGAAATCCTTGACCAATTCGGGGTACGTGTC